ATGGTCAAAAATCGAACAGATGGGAAACACATCGGAGGGGGGGGGCGCACGCAAAGAAGGTAGCTCGGACTCTGCTCTACACGTGCCCTTAGACGGAAGCCAATAGACGGAAGCCAAGCGAAAGCACAGTCTTCTCCCGAGCTCATCAGTAAGGGAATGGAGGAACATCGAGTTCGATAATTCCACAAAAAACACTGATGAAAACGACCAAGAGCTGTGAAGGTTGAAATTTGTGAAGTAGCAAATCGTTTGACAACGTGGTTACGAAAACCAATCCTTCTGTTGAAAAATGTCTTTTCCTGATCTGTGAGTTTGGGATATAGCTGCTACTGCTGTTGGGCTTGAGGTCTCACCTTCATTGCTATTCACTATACTGGTTACAATATAAACTATTTTTGCAGAACTGCCCACGTCTCAAATTTGTTGTGATCTCACCGCAGTAATGGGTGTGCCTCTCGGTAGAATTTTTACCATTGTGACGAAGGATGCACGCAGCGACAAAGTATCCAACACATTTAGTATAACCTGCTTACCCATTTGTGTTCTCATCAGGCTGATCAGTGCTACCCTGTGGTCGTACACTCTGAGCAATGACCTCTGAGACCGGGAAAATCGAGAATAATGACCCGCATAAAGCTTTGCGCAGTAGAAAAACCTGGAATATAACAATCAAAGGAGGCAACAAAAGCAGCAGTCTCGAACACCTACATTTCTATTCATTTCGCCCACTTTAGCTTCTTTATATTCTCGTCTCCTCTGCATAGTTAGCTCATTTGCGTCGTGCTTATCGTAGTACGACTGCAATTCAACATGTTTGTGTTCTGTATCACTATGAGAACCTTCACACTCACCAACACTTTGTTGGCATGCCTTGCAGTTGAGACGATCATTTGTTCTATTGCGGCCAAGCGATCGGCTTTCAACTTATTTATTTGCTTTTTCTCGTCAACCCATTTTCTCAGCAGTGTTATGTTAGCCGTCGTGGTGTTGATATCAGCACATAGGTTGGCCTGGAAATAACTTGTAAAGGCGAATCTGCATAATATAAGATAAACTTGGTAAAATTGTTAAACTTCCTTTTGGGAAGGCTAAACTCTCAAGATTTGGAGCTGCTACACCACAGCAAAAGTCAGACCTAGGTCGCTGAAGAAGGTGCTGAGCACCGAAAAATTTAAAAATAAACAAGGGGCATTTGATTTTCTTCTCAGGCTTTTGTGTTCTTGTACGATATATATTTTAAGAGATTTGTGTTTTTTGCAACATTCCGAGTGAAGTCGCTGCGCTCATACTTCGCGGCATCGTCTACCAGCGTCCGTCACAGTATGCGACTAGCGAAATAAAGTATCGATCAGGCGTTTGCCAGCGTTCACCAACATCCAGAAGCGGAGAGTATGGGGAAGCAAAAGGGTAGCAGACAGGTAAACCACGCGTCGCTAGATTGATACATACACTTTCCTAGTCGCTGGTATGTGCTGACGCTCGAAACGCTGGCGGTCGCTGCCGCAAATTATAAACGTAGCCTTGAAGAATAGCAAGCATGGTCAGAAAACAGAACCTACCGCCTCTCCGAGCAAGTTGTCAAC